CTGGTTGTGAACGCTTTTTCCAGTGATCATACTCCCTCGGTTTGGTCCTCTGTTGGGGTGATGCAACATGTATCTGGCTATATCCACATTCTCAGTGCCCATATCCGACCTGACACGAGACGGTAAACCAAAATGATCCACTGCATTGATAAACAATGATAACACTGTAGCTGCTCTGTTATTGGTACTGCAGCATAGGTACACTATGCATCGGCTAAATCCATCAATCCCCCCATGCACAACAAATCGCCAGCGGATTAGTTTATGATGGCCATCTACGTGCCTAGAACAAGAATGGCGGTTTTAAAATATTGTATTGATTTGTTTTGTGGAAACACCACATTTATTTATTTTGCAAAGCTGTCAAACCTGTAAGCTAAATTCATCAGTGCAAATAATATATATATTACAAGCTTTGTCACATAATCACATCGTGTTCTCACAGAGCAATTAAATCAATTATAATTATTCCACCATTCAAACTTTATACAAACTTAGAGTTAGAAAGAACTTAAGATGTTTAAATAATGCCCAATTGTAGGCAATACTGATAAACAGTTATTTCTCTTCTGTGCAAACTAAATAACAACTTGAAGGGCTTTACTTGTATAAACTTTATGAGATGTTTCAATTCCGGAAAGAAACTATGCCCCTTTTCTTACCATAGAGCATTTGGACAAGGAACATTGTAAGATCTCCTGGTCACTGCTCGTTGGCGCCTCAGGGCCCTGCTGACTGGATCCACGGTATAAATAGCTTCTCGAATTCTCCATCTCTGCACAAAAATTCCTCGGCTCCTTAAAGCTCCAATCATGTACGTTTCGCCAGCATTTGGTAATAAATGCAACACTTGTGTCACAGCATCGCACAAATGGTCCTGAGAAATTTCTGAAAAGTTGTTTCTTGGGCCGCGAACTTGAGCCACAGGAAGCTGATACTGGTGACGTCTTCGTAAAAGCGTTCGGTAAGAAACGCCTGCCTCTCTTGCAACCTCTACCCAAGATCGATGAATGTCGTACAAACCAGATATCATTTGTGGCGGTACATGAAATCTTGGTCTGCCAGCATGTTCAATTTGTTCGACAGGGCACACAAATCCCAGTTCCAAATGGTAATCGCGGTGCATAAATCAACTCCTCGTTGACTCTCATTTCAGTCATTTGTTGGCATTGATCGATGACAGCTTTGATAACATGGATGTGATCATCCAGTCGTCTTTCAAAGAATTCCAAGACATTGATATCATTACAATGAAGAGTCCGCTGAGCCTGGTTGTAAAGTGAGGGAATCTCCTCAAGAAAAAACTTGTATAAATCGATGTCTGTGTTTTCCGCCATTTTAACTATTCCCAGATAGCGTTTTGGCGCGTGCGCCTATCATTCATATGCACTCCGCTGACCTTACAAAACCGGCGCAGTAGCCGTAAATATTTTTTTCGTAGCCGTAAATATTTTTCGTAGCCGTAAATATTTTTTAGTAGCCTTAAATAATGATGTTCCGATATAAATTTGTGTACGTAACCATAAGTATTTTTGTAGACGTATACATTTTATTTATAAAATATTGTCAATTTTGGCACCTCATACGGGTCGGTTTAGGTCGCATGCATTAGCTCAAATAGCAAATATTCCGACTGACATGACCAATCAGATCTTGAATTTTGACAAAAGAACATTGCATAAATGAATATAAGTCCGCTTTAGTCCTCAGATGCAGCTATTGCATTCGACGCGAACAAAATTCGATGTATAAAACAGGCTGTAAATTCTAAACCTTAAACTGAGTTTTTTTTTTAAATATTCTCAATAGATTAACCATTCGAGCATTTTTCAATTGAGATTAATTTTTACTGTTGTAAATAGTTTTTATGTACGTCTGTATTTGTGTTGTCATGGTGGGACTTAATTGGGAACTTCTGTTCCGTTGTCCTGACCTTCGATCTTATTGATTGTCAAGTTATTAAAAAAACAAACAAAACAAAAAACACCTTAAACTCTAAGCGCGCAAAGCTTAATGGGAGCATTAATTAGTTGAATATTGCAGCTATTTGTGAATGAATTGTTATTGTATACAGCTATTTCAAAGGTTGTCCACGAGCAAAGCGCAAAAGTCGAATACGAGCGCGAAGGGTTGCTGGGAATCGCTAACAAATTAATGAATTTTCAAAGCGCCCCATATGCATGCATAGATGATTTCTAAACTGATTAAATGATGTTTCCATTATATGCGTTGCACGCTTAGAGTTTTAGGTTCAGAATTCCAGATTTGCAAAGGACAACCTTTTTTGTATTAGCTGTATATTGCCCTATAAATATGGCGTCAATCTTAAGCATCAATGATAACTCAACTGAATGATTGTATTTAAATTGACAATATTTAACTATTATTTTGTGTTTCTCAATTAACCATTTTAAAAGGTTGCTAACAGCGTAAACCACAAAATAAAGCTAAAAGAAAGTGATTTTGAGCGGAAGGTCAAAAAGATTTTACTAAGGTTACTTCTCATGCATGTACTGTATATATCAAGTGCATTGACAAAATATGCCATGCATGCGTTTAGGCCGTTTAGGCCTGTTTTATACGTCGAATAATGAGATGATAAACCTCATTAACCTTCATTAGTATAAATTTTGCATATCAAATGAGCTTTCGCGCGTTCTGATTGGCTAGTTGACTAGTAAATCTGAGGCATTATTTACCACCTGGGTAGTAAATAATGCTTTTCAAAAAGAATGATTCGGCAAATTTGGTTTCAAAATCGACAAAATATTGAAAAAATCGTCCCAGAAAAAGAAAAAAAGCACAAAATGTTGTATTTAACTTGAAAGGTAGGATTTAGTATTATATTACTGTGTCAAACATATTCACGGACAATTTAAAACTTATTTAAAACTCCGAAACATTCGCTTCAAACGTAAATCTGAAACAGCAAAAAATATCCCGACTTTTGGGAAAAGCCGTGATATTCTTTTTAAAACAATTTTGTTTTGTATCCTATAAATATCTCAATTTGTACGATACTATTTCTTTTGACTATGTCGTGTTTTCATTGTGCTCTATGGTGTCCTTTCGCTGTATTGTACTATTTGTGTTTTTAAAACTTGTAAAGTGAAAAGTGTATTAAAACTTTTATATTAATTCGAACGATATAGTTTTACATTTCATTTTACCAAATTTCTCAGCCATTTCCTGAACAAATTAATGCTAAACCGAAACTATTTTTTAATTCTAAGTCTGGTAAAAAAGTCATTCCATCATTGTGTTTATATTCTAAGCAGAAATCGAGAAAAATAACTTTGTAATAAAGCAATAAGGTCGCACAGGAAGCCATTTTGAAAGCGTGCGTGTACAAGAAACACTGCAACACTAAACCGTAAACCGGTCGAAAACAGTTTTATTTCTGAATTTTTAAACTTATAGTTGGATAACTTGGATATTTTGTTTTATTCATTAAAAATTTATACTAAAACAATTATTCGCCTCAGGCTCAGTGATTACGGTGAATATTCACCTCGACTTCGTCTCGGTGAATATTCACCGGTAATCACTTCGCCTTCGGCGAATAATTGTTAATTATCTATTGTTTGAAATGCATTCGACGCGACCAAAATTCGACGTATGAAACAGGCCTTACTGTATAAATTGTTTGATTAACTGGAATGGACTGTGTCGACTTGACATTCGATCATGACTGATTCAGTCGTTGAGGAACTTCTATAGACTTAGACGCGATGCTGGGTGCAGCAACAACATATATATAAGCACGCAGTCGTAACTGGCGGGTGTCCGGGTGTCCTAGAGACGGGGGGCACGCCTGGGGGCGTCTTTGGACACCAGGCAAAATGAGCATACCATTTTTGCTAGTACATTGGGCAAATTGGCCCGAGCCACAGTTATATAGGGCAAAAAATTCGTAACGGGTGGCCCCCAAAAGCAGGAATTGGTGAAATTGTGAAATTTGGACCCCTTTTTTAGTAGACATATGCATGGGGAAAATTTTTGTGACTTTTTTTTACATGTTATATGGTCCGGAAAATTTTTTTTCTTCCCCCTCCCCTTTTTATGGGAAAAAATAGGGTCCCACTTAAAAATTCGATGGGGGCCTCGGGGGACCACTGTAAGCACGTCGAGCATAATGATTGAATATTCACATAAACTGCTCTCAAAGTATAGGATGGTGATGAGAAAATTTCTTTTATAGTTAAACCAAACTTCTGCGTAGGATTTCATGCACTTGAACAATATATATCAGTTTTGCCATAATGCCTGCATTTAGACATTTGTATGGCATGGTATATTGATCAGTTGACTTATTAAATAGCTTGGGGACCCGTTTCTATTTACCTTTAACTCTTTTGTATCGTCTTTGATGTCGAAAAGACTATTTCTGCCGTCTTTCCATTCCTGACCATTTTGAATTAATTTAAATTTGTTCGATACGTAGCAACTCCCATCATTTTCTTTGAAAATTGGAGCAGAAATACGTAGTTTGGACTTTGTTTCGTTGTAATTAAGGTATTTCATGAAAGAGCCATCAGAGAAACGGTAACACCCTATATATAGATATATAGAAAATAGTTCAATAACAGATGAGAATTTAATTATTTTCCAAAACAACTGGCTCATCACCAGCGCATGGTTATATAGCTCTGCATGTAGCTATAGCTAGAGCTCTCGGCAAAAGAGGTTCCATTTCTGATAGCATATATATGCATCGTTGTATTTTAGCCATCGTACTCGCGATGTGATTTAAAACATGTCGTGTGTTAGCAGAAGTTAAAATCTGATTTAAAATTAATTATAACATGGTATACCTTTGTAGGCTGTGCTTTTTATACAAGTGGTTCCTTGTTTACTTCTCCATCGCTGATTACCATTAGATGATGAGGAAATGGCGTTTGCATCACCATCTGCTGCTGAGTTTGGTAAGCGTAAATATCGTCGTTTGCTTCCTACGTTCCATCGAATCTCCATTCCATCTCTATTATCAGTGCACCGTATTCTTTGCCAATTTGTATTGGCCTTCTCACATTGATTGATGGTGACTTTCTTATTATTTGTACTTCTTTTCATGCATTTGAGTGTTTTAACATTCATGAGTCGTTTATTATTTGCATTTATCTGTATCCAAAGCATATCAACAGTAGGCCATGCTGTGCAATTTGTCCCAATGATATAATTGCTTGAACTACTTTCTAATTTCAAACACTTGTCGTATTCATTATTTTTGAGCCAAAATGCTACATTTGGCACTGCAACAAGAGCAAAAAATTAGTTTTAACTAAAAACTGTGAAGGGTTGTACAGGGTGTCTGAAGGGTTGTACAGGGTGTCTAAAAAAACGCTATGGAAATTCAACAGGCTGTTGCATGTACATTACAAACTTAACTAAACAATTCAATTTTTACATAGGACGAAAGAGCTGTTATTTAGCTTTTCTATGATATATTTCTTAAACCGTAAGGCGTAACGATGAGAAATGGTCACATATTCGGTCCACATTCTTCCACCGTTGGGAATTGAAAATACATTAATTATGCAAAGTTAATCAATCCAAAAGCAACGCAAGCCTGCTGCAAGGTACTTGTTTCGTAAAACGTTTTGATTACGAATGTTCTCTGTTCAGGGGTTAATTGAACCATGTTTAATGCAATAATGGACGTTCTTATGGTTTCACTAAGGTGGCTGGTATAAAGACGTATGCACGTGACTAATTTCTTACTCAAGATTGGATAATTGGTTCATGAATTATTAATGAGTTTTTTAATGAAAGTTAAATAACTGTTCTTTCGTCCTGTACATGTGTAAAAATTGAATCGTTTAGCCACGTTTATGATGCACGACAGCCTGTTGAATTTCCATAGCGTTTTTTTTAGACACCCTGTATAACCAAGGGTTGTATAATTCATAAGCTTATTGGCAAATTATGTCAACCATAATATGTTATGTGAAGAGACTTTATACCTGATAAAACTCATCTTTATTAGTATTCAGTCTTTATATAAAAGTCCATCCTAATTAGTATTCTTTATATAAAGAATAGTAATGCGACGGCAATGTCACGGCATCTATATTGTAGTCGTGTTTGAAGCCATTGAAAACATTGGCAGTGCGTGTTTATCTCATTTATCAGACCTAACGATACTCGGCTTCGCCTTGTATCTTTATATCTGCGATGATAAAACACTGCTGCTCATGTTTTAAATAGTATTTTAGACGCAGCTATTCTCATTTCTTGCCAGAGGGTCCAATAATTTCAGCATAGCTGATTATACTGACCAGTCATATGCGCAAACATTTGATTAATTTTCCGTATAAGATTGACACAAATAGTCATTAAACACTGATATGAATGAATCAACAATCTTGTAGCTTGTTGTAACAAGTGTAACAGCTCTGATGAGTCAGTCATCCAACTTGCAACAAACTGTCAAATAGCCGTTCATTACTTGTATAGACGAAGTTGGGAACAGGCAGTTTGAACACAATGATGTGTTGTCTTTTTGTTGAAACATCATTGTAACGAGTAATAACAATATTCTAACATGGGCATATTTACGACTATAGTTGGTATCACTTTCAAAATGATTCGTACCTGATTCTGGTACTATTTCTTCATCACTCTTGCATACTCCACCATCTTGGTTTATTATAAACGTACTTCTGCCTTTCACACAACGACAGAATTTACATTTCGCGTCCACACACTCAGCGCCGTAACTCTTACACTGATGGTAATTACACCTTTCACTTCCAGGATAACATTGCATATTCATAAATATATCTTGTTCGCCTCGAAATATTTTGAAGCCACTCTCTGCGCCATTACTTCGGCATAGCCATAGGCAAAGAACCGCAGTTAATGAAACGTAGTATGTAATTCCTACTCTGTTGGTAAACCCCATTTGCTTCGCCTTTCAACCTAATCATCCAAACTCTCTCAAATCGAAACGATACTCTAGTTTTGGTTCAAGATTGAAACAAGACAATGTCAGTCTAAAAGCTCTTCAGGACATCAAAGATATTTGCCGATATCCTACACCACCTCACAGAGCTTTTATATACATATATGCAAAATAGCTGTATGGTGATTTAAATTATATAGTTACGGAAAAACATCCGGTTCTATTGAGAATGAATTGCATGGTTCACTTGAACTCGTGGGTGTCTTAACGATGTCTTGCACTGTTCGAGTTGTTGTCGTGCCGTTATAAAAGATCTAGATTTTGTTGGTATCTCACTTGATTCAATAATAGTTGAAGGGTCTTGTAAATGGATTCTACAGGACCCCTCAACCGTTCGCAGTGCTTACATCTCAGCATTGATAGAGGCATTACCCCAAAAGTGGTATATACATTGAGCGTAAAGGCTAATTTTTATTTCCTTATAACAGCAAGACCTTCATAGTTTACAGTAAAAACCCCACCCTAGACTAAACAAAAAACTTATCCACATTTAGTAAAGTACAGTGGTACATGCATAATGTACAGCCCATTTGCTATATTAGACGAGTTTTCAGCATTTCGGGAATCTTCCTTGTTGGAATCTTCAATAACTTCAATATATTTATGATCATTGGAATTTGATCTTTCATCTGTTACCTACATATGAAGCGTCAATGATGAGTAGCATACAGTAGTAGTGTTTCTCTTTGGTTTTCTTTTACAACTGGTCCTGATAACATACGAGTACTAGTTACTCTATCTGCTATGTTCTCTCACTCACAATTGACTAACTTGACTCGGATGAACATGTGCAATGTACATGATCTGGTCCTAATGTTTCGTGGAGGGATATGTCCTTAAGGAATAAATGTTACAAATAACTTAACCAAATATGTACAGTGAATTCTTCATGGAAACGCGGACAAATTTACAGTTTAAATACTCTCACCTAGTTGTGGTTTTCTACATCTTCTGGTCCTTCCAAAGTTGAATAAACAGGTGCTTGAGGTGGATTCGCTTCTTCCAGTGTGTGGTACAGTGCACTGTTGGGAGGAGGAGAATTGCTCGTTTCCTCTGTACCCAGAGGAATCGAAGGCATATCAGTATTTTTTGCATAGCTGTACTCTTGTTCAGTTGATACTGGTCCTTCCTGTTCTAGAGTATGGTACAGACCACCACACGTGGCTGGCTCAATATCTCTCTCGCGCACTGCCTTTGTATCTGCAGTATCTCTAGGCAGATCTGTATATTTGGCATAGGTATACTCCAGTTCTGATGATCCTTGGTTAGCGATGTTCGTGTTATCAGGGTAGTTATAGAAATTATCATCAGTCGGTTGTCCAGGCTGTTCTAAAGTTTCGTACACAGCACCGTTACTTGTCGGCCCCTCGGATGCTGCCTTTGTAGTTACACTTGATCTTGCCAAATCTGTATCTTTAGCGTAGGTGTACTCTTGCTCAGTCGATGCTGGATTACTGATGGGGTAGCTATAGGTGTCAGAGGATAGCTATAGGTGTCAGAGGATATAGTTACAGGTTGGTTTGGTGGTACTTCATTATCATCCTCTAGAGTTTGGTAGATTCGATCAGGGTCTTCATAAATCTCTTTCGAATAACTGACAGCACCAACATCTGAGATATGAAGATACAGACATATAGTTACTCTATCCAAAGTTGAACTTCAATATATTTAGGCCATTATATATGCACTCTACTGCTTAATTTTATCGGGAATTTCATCATTGGATGATTGTTCAGCTCAGCGTAACATTTCTACTTCTCAGAGTTGTGGCGAAGATTTTGCTTTGACAGAATAATAAGGCATTTCATTCTTACCATTATTGTTGCTCTGTGGCACTTGTGCCCTGACATAAGAAAACGTTTATTTATTTAATGTCTTAAAATATACAATACATCACAACTATGAGTCAATGTATAAGTCCATCCAACCTTTAGTTACTCTATGGGGTAGCAACCCTATAAATCACCCAACAAAGGTACAGAAGATCTGCGATTCTCAAGGGAAAAAGAGCTAAGGAAAAGCCACTATTCAAAATTTGGACAATTTTGATCTTTTATCATTATTCTTTGTAAGATTAAGTGTTTTAGAATGCTGCACTCTTCATCGAGCTAATGTGTAGTAGTAATATGTAGTTTTTTAACGTTGGGTGTCCGGATATAAAGTGAAGAATGCAAACAACGACTATCTGAAATATAAAAAAGAAATGCCGTTTTTGAGCGTTTGTATAGCATGGGTCGGAAAAAAGCACATGTGCTTTAAGCCTTGGCCAAACTAGGAAACATTGTTGCGGAAACATTGTTTCCTGTCAATGTTTCGCCATGTTTCCCTGAGTGGGCAAACACTAGGAAACATTAGTGAGAAACATAGGGAAACATCAAATGTTTCTGAATTTGCTAGGAAACATTTTTGCTTCTCGGGAAGCAAATTTTGTTTCCGCAACAATGTTTCCACGGGTGGGCAAACAGGGAAACATTTGTGGAAACATCGAGAATCGCGAATGATTCCACAACAATGTTTCCTAGTTTGCCCAGGGCTTTATACCAGTGAATGCATAAGCGAACACGTGACAATGATATACCATTCAAAAACTCATTAATAATTCATGAATACAGACTTGCTGACTGGAACTTCAGGTCCCCCGCTAAATATGTCCTCTCCAGTTACACATGCATCCTTAAAAGAGGCCCTGCACCATTTGAATAGCTATTGAGTATCGTATCACACTGAATTATTTGGCAACAGAAAAATAGAACGCTGGTATCTTTCGCGTTTCTGAAAGGATGGGTCATAATTTTTCAGCACCAATTTAAGGGTGGGCCACAAATTTTCGTGCAGCTATTAAGGGGTGAGCTACCAAAAGTGCAGACACCAAATATATGATTTCCCAGCCCCCCCCCCCTTTACTTTATGACCGGTCCCTAAACACGAATAATTCTTATCTTTAACTTGAAAATGATGCAAGAAGCATCGAAACGTCGATCGAAACGTCGTTGTAATAAAATAAAATTAATATCGCTATAATTTGTTTCAAAGTTACTTTTGTATTTACTAGTGTAAAAGCGTGGCATGTGTTTTTTCCCGACTCATGTTACTAACTTTCAGATGAAGAGCCTTCGCTGGAAAGGGCCTTCGTTTTTAGGTAGTTTCGTCATACACACAAGTTCGCTTTTTGCAGTTTTCTGTTTTAATTTGTTTCTTTTCCAGCGACCATAGAATAACTTTCGTGAAAACTGTTTAAATGGCACCCGTCTTTTATTTTACCTTTTTCGTCTTCTATAGTACAGCAAATACCCCAATGCCAGTGCCAAGGCTACCAGAAGAAGAGTAATGGTTACAGCAATAGCAGTGGCATTTGTTCCATCCGACTCTGATGTCTCTTCTTTAAAACCTTCCTGTGGGTTTTCTATAGTGGAAGTTTTTGGGGTTGGTGATTGGCTTGGAAGTTTGGAGGACATCCTTTGGTCTTCTGTAAATTGACTGCTTCTAGTTAGTGTGGTAGGTCGTGTTGCGTTTATCCAGGGGAAGGTGAAGGGAACTTCTCTAGTGCTCGTGTAATCTTCAGTAGGTGGAGCACTTTGGTATGATGAATGTGATACGTCCGTGGAACTTGATGTAGGAGAGACCTGGACAAGAATGAGAAAAAAGCATATAAAGCAAATATATGATCTGTAAAAGTAAACATAAAGTAAATATTGATCTGTGGTGCAGTCTTCAGAGAAAGCAGGTCTATTTAACCTCTGAGAGTGGAGTTTTTCTTGTTCTCCCTCTGGACCAAATAACCTAGAAGAATCTGCTCAATATCGTGGATGTTTATTGGTATTTCGGTTTCCTGCTACAGGAAAGTTGACATAGTTCAAGAAGATGATAAGAGCTTTAGTTGAAAGTTTTCTCAGCACATGTGACATAATCTAAAACGGACAGCGCCAGTGTAGGTATAGTGCCAATAATAAGAAAGCTTCGGACGGATAGGCATACAACTGCCTGAAAAATACAAGGAGAACTTCAAAGTTCTCGTTGAAATTGTCCTTGTATTTTTCAGGCAGTTGCATCTCTATCAGTCCTAAGCTTTCTCAATACATGTGCCTGCGTGTTCTTGATCATGATGAAAGTCTTCGGATACCGGTACATTTACCATGATCTTCCTATCCCTTGCTTACTTTTTAACCTAGTTGATATTTAGTTCTCGCTGCATGTAAAAAGCCGATATTAAGATCAACTGCACTGGACTGATCAACCAGTTTATGAAAGAGTGTAATACTAACTTCCGGATACGGTGGCAAAGATTTCAGTTTAAGAAGAACACAATGCACTTCCTCTGATTCTTCATTTCCGCATGAAACGTTGAGTATTAACAGTGAACCGTTCCAGGCTTTCAGATTTTCCATCGACTTAATCTAAAGAAGTGGTAAAGACGAACGTGAACTTTTGCCGATAATGGTAATGCAGACTATGTACATGTCGACATGTACCATAGGTATAACAGTGGTGCTTTACTATAAAAACTGTAACATAATATTTTCAATTTGGTCGTGAACTTCCTTTCTTATATACTCTAAATATTCACACGAAATTATTGACATTATATTACTTAATTAAAACTTGGTGAAATGAAATTCATTATAGAAAGTAGGTGCAAGAATTTCGCCCGTATCCTAAAAGCTGACTCACACTCAAACTCAATGAGTGGAAGTTCAATCTGAGCTTCTCACGAGTGTCATTGCTGTTTTTAATAGCTGGAGGGTTAGTGTTGTACCTTACTATGTGACTATCCACCCTCCAGCTATTCAAAAACAGCAACAACACTCGAGAGAAGCTCAGATTGAACTTCCACTCATTGAGTGTGAGTGAGCTTTTAGAATACAGGCGTTAGTGGTTTGGTTTGTTCTATGTAGAATTGATGGCATGGCATACGTTCAGGCTTTCGACTGGATAACTCAGACTGGAAATAACTGCTTAAATTGGACTTCGATCCAGTGCTTATTCATGCAGTCAGTTTAATTCGCAACACACTTCAAACGGTTATGCATTTACACGTGACCACATTTACTAATTTGCTGAAATATTCGTAAAGCTTGTGCACCCTTTAATCTGTTTACCTCGAACACTTTTGTATCTTTACTTGTACCATTGATATAGAAGAGATCACTACCGTTGCCTTTCCATTCTTGACCATCTCGAATGAATTTAAATAACTCCATTACTTTGCATTCCCCATCATGTTCTTTGAAAATTGGAGCAGAAAGTTTCAGTTTGGGATTTGTCTGGCTGTAATCGAGGTAATGCATGAAAGAGCCATCCGAGAAACGATAACACCCTATGGAAGAATATAGTAAGGCATCTTTGAAATGCATTTACAATCATGCAAAATGTTATTTATTTATGACATGGAATACCTTTGTAGTCTTGACTTGTTTTAGAAGTATTAGAGATTACTTTACTGCTCCATGTCTGGGGTTGTTTGCACCACCACCAACACTGCCACCACCACCGCCGCAACCTTGGGGAAAAGGCATAGCTTGTTCCGTGCCAGTTGTAAAAATGCAAAAATCGTCCATTGCCCCATCCAATGTTCATTTCAACATCTTTTTTAGTGCATATAATGTTTTGCCGCGAATTGGGTGTATTCTCACATTGTTCCATGGTCACTCGGCTGTAATCACGTACTCTTTTCATACATTTAAGTGTTTTAACATTGATGAGTTGTTTATCCCCAGTAATATGTGGCCATATCCAAAGCATATCAAGGGTGGGCGATTTGTCACAATTTGTTCCAGTCATATACTTGCTACTTGAGCTACTTTTCAAACACTGGTTAAATTTATCATTCTTGAGCGAAAATGCTTCCTGAGGTACTGCAAATAGAATAAATTTGTGTTATTTATTAAAACCTTTTAATCTGAGGTCTCAGAAGCGGGCCGAGAACGAAGGTCGAAGGACGCTTCTGAGATCGAGGGGAAAATATTTTTCAAGTACGGACCGACCTTAAAATGAAATTCTGGTCTTTCCAAAAAACATGAAACTTAGACATGAAATTCTGGTCTTTCCAATAAATAGGCGCATGCTTTACCACACTTTTCAGAGAATTATTTCAGACCCAGAATGACAATACAAATCAGCAAATCTGCAGCATGGCACATTCTTCACCAACATCGGGTGTTCGTATTATTATAACAATGATGTACTGTAGAACTTTTGAACAATTCAAAATTATTTAAACAAGTGAAAGTGAGCAATTTAATAAACACAGGGTATTGAATACATATACTGTACCGCGAATATTCTAGTAAGCGCCCAAGTTGTAAATTGTAATTCATTAAAGACATGGGGGAATTATAAAAAACTTAAATACCTAGTAGAATGTAATTTACCTCTGGAGCATCCTTTGATTCGAAATATTCGCGACTATATTAATTCGTCGACTATTCGGGACTACTCGTCGACTTTTGACACCGCCATACTATACTCTTCTATCAATTACTCCTTAAGCAATGTTTTACCATTTACATTTTTTTATCAGCTATTATGTTCGCCGATACATTTGCATTTTATTTTTTACTCTAGTATATAATACAAAAGGGCTGTATGGGCCTTACAAGAAACCTACAAAGTACAAGGTTTTTTACAGCTAAACCAAAGTATCCAATGCAATATGAAATCAGTCACTTTCAAGTGACTGATTAACGATTTGAAATCAGTTTAGCGATTTGAAATCACTTATTAGCGATTTGAAATCAGTCACTTTCAGTTGCGGTTAATTTTGATACTTGGCAAAACCCTGTACTCAAACCGTAAGGTTCTTTGAGTAAGGACTTAAAAAAAGAAAGGAAGGTTGGAATATGCGGAACTGGTTCTATAACAAACATACTTGCAGGTTCGGTGAGTCCGGGATTGGACGCACCGAGGGTGGCTGGAAGTTTCCCGAACCCACCTCGCTTCGCTCGGTGAGTTCGGGAAACTTCGCTCGGTGAGTTCGGGAAACTTCCAGTCACCCGAGGTGCGTCCAATCCCGGACTCACCGAACCTGCAAGCATGTTTGTTTTAACAATTCCTCTTAATTCCTACTAGTATAGAATTTTCTCACTCGACCTAGTTCAGTAATTCCTGTATCTGTATCTTTAATGCAGATCATGATAAATGTTAAACTGTTAAAGACCGTTGTGATACAATGGGCAACAAGTCAGTATGCTGAAATATTAATTCGGTTGTATATCCCCAGTGCATATAGCATGTATAGCATGATGATAAATTGTTGAACAACATAAAACTAGATGCTGGTAAAAACTGCTCATGCAAAAAATAAATTATGATTAATAAGATTCAGTTGCCCCTCGTGTATATTATACGAATGTTTTCCACGGCATAAAATGGGTTCGGGAAACTTCCAGCCACCCGAGGTGCGTCGAATCACGGACTTACCGAACCTGCAAGTATGTTTGGTTTTTATCACATGCCATTTCGGTAAAAAATACTGAAGAATTTACGCATTTTAGTATATAATTTCTTGTTTGCAGATAACGAACATTTTAGCCGTCCATATACTACGCAGACAAACAAACTTAAGCTTAAATTGAAGCTAAAACAATTCTCTACAATATTCCCTTATTCTTGAAAAGAGAATTAAAATGTACACATTCTGCAAAAACATTGCCAAGATTTATATAAATCGAAAAATTTCTGCGGCCATCTTTATTCTCTTCCACTTTGAATACAGAATTAACATTCCATTTTCATGAAACAAAATAAAAAAAATAATTGTAAAACAAAAACAGTTAATTTATATTTTATTTAAATCTTCGTCTGAAATTTGTTGAAATATAATCGCTTCATAATGGCCACCGCCGAAACATCGATGTCGAACCCACCTCCTAAACATACGTCAGCATGTGGGTTCGAGATTTTATCAATACCTAGCGTATTAGCGGCTTTCCTATTGGCTACGAGGAGGTGCGTTCAATCTCGAACCCACCTGCTGACGTAAGTTTAGGAGGTGGGTTCGAGATCGATGTTTCGGCGGCGGCCATTATGAAGCGATTTGAACAAATTTCAGACGAAGATTTAAATAAAAAATAAATTAACTGTTTCTAATTGTTTTATAATTATTATTTTTTTATTTTGTTTGATGAAAATGGAATATTAATTCTGTATTGAAAGTGGAAGAGAAGAAAGATGACCGCCGAAATTTGTCCGGCACGGGCAGGATTATATAAATCTTGGCAATGTTTTCGCAGAATTCGTGCATTTTCTCTTTTCAAGAATAAGGGAATATTGTAGAGAATTTTTTATCTTCAATTTAAACCTAAGTTTGTTTGTTTGCAGTTTGCGGAGTATGTTGGCGGCTAAAATGTTCGTTATCCAAACAAGAAATTATATACTAAAATGCGTAAATTCTTTAGTACTTTTTACCGAAATGGCATGTGATAAAAACCAAACATACTTGCAGGTTCGGTGAGTCCGGGATTGGACGCACCTCGGGTGGCTGGAAGTTTCCCGAACCCACCTCGCTTCGCTCGGTGAGTTCGGGAAACTTCGCTCGGTGAGTTCGGGAAACTTCCAGTCACCCGAGGTGCGTCCAATCCCGAACTCACCGAACCTGCAAGTATGTTTGTTTTAACACTTCTCTCTTAATTCCTACTAGTATAGAATTTTCTCACTCGACCTAGTTCAGTAATTCCTGTATCTGTATCTTTAATGCAGATCATGATAAATGTTAAACTGTTAAAGACCGTTGTGATACAATGGGCAACAAGTCAGTATGCTGAAATATTAATTCGGTTGTATATCCCCAGTGCATATAGCATGTATAGCATGATGATAAATTGTTGAACAACATAAACCTGGATGCTGGTAAAAACTGCTTATGCAAAAAATAAATTATGATTAATAAGATTCAGTTGCCCCTCGTGTATATTATACGAATGTTTTCCACGGCATAAAGAGTTATTCATGCAGAGTTATTCATGGCGGCATAGCACTGCCGCTGCTCAAATTGGTTTCAATTTTGGCAAACCATGTCCAGCAATTCCAAAGTGCATGCTGTGCATGATGTCGTCGATTCTAATATTTACTACAAGATATCTCTGTAAAACGTCAAATCGTGTATTTCCATTCCCTCTACGCAATCTGGGTCACCAAGGCTGTCTAATCGCGATATTATATCCTCAATAATGTTCAGTGCACCAACTATTTCATGATTTTCATCATTCCGCTCGTTCATAGCCGCCATATAGGAATCAAGTCCCAGGCGAGTGCCAGGGGGGGGGGGGAGTTGAACGAAATGTTAATTAATATTGGCGGATATTTAACGCGGTGCTACAGAGCCGGTGTCCCATGCAGTTGATTTGGACCCCCGTAGATTTGAATTTAGAATTACTTCAATATCTATATGTTGTATTTCACTTAAATTTGACATGTTCAGTATTCAAATTAACATCAATGAGGGAAATATGTTAAAATTGAAGCAATGTTGGATTAAAGTGGCATGCTGATTTTGATATGTTTAATGTCGAAATTCACTTCAATGACGGACACATGTTGAATCAATAATCAACATGGATATTGGCGGTAATCTGACGCCATAAACAGAAACGATAAGCAAAGAAAAGCCCTTTGCTTTTAGCAACATCTGTCAAAATCTGTCAGGTGTCAATGCCATGACAATCCCATTTTGCTAAACCGACATTCTTCAGTTATCAGCAAAAGGAAGCCAACCTTTATCTCAGTTCACTCTGAGACAATATAAAAGGAAAATCCCACCCACCCAACCCTTTGAATTTGCGTACAATAAAACGGGAACTACAGAACTTAAATATAAGAAATCAATTGTAATCAATGTGTTGTAAATAATTTTATCTATTTGAGAAGAAGTAAAGAAAGCGGGGTGGAAAGTGGTGTCCACACGGCCACACCTCGCCCGTGGTTCAGCGCACACACTGGGAAAAGAAAGCAAGGTCCATAACGGCCATTACACTCGTCTGTTATTCGCATCTCTCTGCCACTTCACTACGAGGAAGCCCGACTCGGACACGAAATTCAATGTCCATATTGGCGAGGCCTGAACGCTTACTCTCACCGTGATGTTGTTTCTCCAGCTTTTCTTGGGGCCCTTACCTCCAGGAAACCGCACTGTCCATCACCCAAATTTGACCACAAATGTTTAGCGTGATTTATTGACCGGCTGACAATAACCTTGTATGCAACACTTAATGCAGCCGATGCGAGTGTTACTCTGCTTTAAAGTCGTAACATGTATAAAAACAACAATAAAGTACGTATACTACCTGATTCTGTTACTATTTCTTCATCGCTCTTGCATTCTCTTTTATCGCATGACGACCCGCACGTTTTGAAAAACAGCGGGATCTGCAAACTGAGTTTGCAACTTCAGGAAGCGGGCAACGCTAATCGCATTATTAATTACCGCCATAAGATGTCATCAATCCAGGTTCAGTTGCTTAAACGCAGTGTGAAACCAAGCAAGTAATAAGTTAATTTTCTGTTATGCATTAAAATAAAAGTGTACAAATATGTCACAATGCTGACTGTTGACAAGTCACCTAGGGCCAGGCTATA